TCAAGGACCCCACACACACACACAAGCTGTTCTCTCCCTTACGGTCGGGCAGACGGTACCGGAGCATGAGGTCTGATACCAACAGGCTCCGACAGTTTCTATCTACAAGCCATCAGACTGCTGAACACTTGAACTGGACTGACCACCTGCTCTGATTCTCCGCACCTTAGCACACATCACAACTGCTGCTACCAGACTCTTATTAAACTGCTCAATTTATACACTTGGCCCACATCCCCCCTTCCCCAATACACGTGTAAATATTGGACTATAAATTGTGCCTTCCTGTATTATACTTATGCTAAAATGTTTATTCTATTCTACAGCCATTTACTTTAAGTTCGTATTCTTATTTTTTACTATTTCCTATTGTTGTTGCATTGTCGAGAACGAACCTGCAAGCATTTCGTTGGACTATGTATACCATGCGTATCCCGTACATACGACTAATGAAACTCGGAACTAGCATGTGTGTAGATCTTTGTTTTGGTCGCACAGCACTGTGTGATGCACCTTCATCTACGCATAGAAACAATTAGTTACGGCAAAGATGTTTGGAAATGTAAGATGTTAGTTGAAAAATTCCTTTCTAAAGTTTACACTAGCCAAGCTGTAACGGGTACGGAGCATCACACATCCCATTACAATTCTGTAGATAGGAGCTAGCTGCTCTGCCTCACTGCAGGCTATGTGCTAGACCAGGAGGTCTGGTATAGTTCCCCTGGAGAAAGGCGGCCTTTGGGGAGTGTGGCACAACAATCAGGGGAGTAAAACTAAAAATTGTCACCACCTAAAGACTCCACTCCCCATAAGACCTTGCTGCAAGTGATTTTTCTGAATTGATTTATTGGCAGTGTTGCTCTCAAACTGAACATACTCAAAGATTTGAGGGGCCAGGACACTGATCTCCATGCAGCCAAGATAGAAATGGTAATATCTCTGCTTTGTGTGTTTGCCTCATGTATTCGCCTGTTGATGATAATATTAAAGTCTTTATTTTCCACCCTTCTGTCTCTGTGTTCACGGTCCATGTTAAGGCCCAAGCCATGTTTGTTTTTTGGCACCCTAGTTTTAATGATCTAGATAAAGTTTTTTTTTAATTGAGTGATGACTGCAAATAATGATCATTAGAAAAACACATTTGCTACATCAATCTGTACGCTCTTTGTGGTAGTTGTAGCTGTTGTATGACTAAGTAAATACTAGAATAACTCAACACACTAAACGTGATGCAATTGTTTTTGCATACTGTAGCAGCATATTCCATATAGATTCCATCTGCAAGTCAACAAAGAACAAGATACAGTAGTAAAGTGTTAACACCAGGGGTTGAGTGATGAATGTAAGGATGTTCGATTGGCAGTATGGTTATGTTGTAGTCATTTTAAGTGGACTAGGAGAAAGGTAGTAGAGTAGGCTAATTTTATGTTACATGTAGTAAATTGTTACACATAGATATGGGTTGTGTGCTAGTTTTAGTGTAGTTATGTCAGTGTTATGTATTAGTAGATGCAGGCTACTTGATTATGGATAGTAGGGTGCATAAAACTTCATAAATTCATTACGAGGGGCAATTTTCAGAAGGTACAATAGAAATGATGGTTAGAAGATGTGGAAGAGCAGTAGTGGTCACATCTACCAAAAATATCTATGTTTATTTCTAAGTTGATTTAAGCTGGTAAGTTTGTAGTAATGTTGGTATTTTTAGCTTTGGAGTTCTTACAGAAATTTGAGAAAAACTGAAAGAAGTGAAGATTCCTTGGAATGTCATAAGCACTAATAACAATCAAGCCCCTTGGATCTTTCCCTCCAATGCGTTTGAGAAGGAGGTGAGGAGAGAAGACAAGGAATGGAGGAAATATTAATTGGTATTTTCTCAATTGGGTACACACATTTAAAACACAACACTACTTATTTCTTATACATTATTTTATCTATAGTATTTCTAGCACAACTAGCTACATTTCTTTTTACCACTTTACATATGTATTTTGGGATTCACCCTCATAAATATAATTTGCCTGATGACGAAAATGAGTCTAGTGAAGTAGGAGTCTCATTTCTGCTGATCTATAACATCTCTTGGATTGAATCCTGGGGCGTATTCATTGTGTGTTTCCAAGGGCTCCATTCAATCTGTATCGCGGAAGTTCAGCATAGCACGATTGACAATTAAAGGCAATGTTCCCGTGGTCGCGGAGACTGCATTCATGGTAAACGCTGTACTGTATATGTCGGCTCAATCGGAAATTACCTTTACATTTCTAGAGCAAAATCTGTAACGCTTCAGTGACACAGATTGAATAGAGCCCTAACTTTGACTGAACACCTTGAAATTTGAGTTGAAAAAGAAGACTGGTGCACTCACCCCTGCTGGACTAGGCCATGAGATACGGACCAGAAGGGTCATCATTTAGAATCTTGCTCCCTTGGTGTAAGATTTTTTATAAGTATTATATAATATAAAGCCTTTCATCTGGATTAATCTTTATTTTGTCGCTGAAGATAATACCTGGTAAGATAGTATATTATCCTACAAGTCAGGGCCCATATTCATAAACCTAGAGAAGCAATGCTGATATAGGGTCAGTTTGGCCTTTTAGATCATAATGAATAAGATTACATGGGATATGGGGGGGGGGGGGGGAGAAACACACCTGATCCTAGCTCAGCACTCAGACGGTTTATAAATGCGGTTTAGTTCTGTTTGATTCCAGGGCAACACTCCCATCTGTTGGTCTAGTTAGTGAACTGTATCGTGTGGAAAAATAAAGCATTTACTTTTTGGACTATGTACCAATTATCTCCTCTTCCTCCCAAAGTGTGCACCTGTTCACTTTCCTTCACTGATTTGAAAATAAATATTGTGGAAACTCCCACTAGCCCATGCCTCCCCCAATAGAATGCTTTTAGATTTGTGGTAGGTAGTAAACGAGTGTACACTTCAGGAGAAAGAAGATATTATTGGGACACACTCATTGTTAGTACATTGAAAGAATCAAACTTCAGAAATACGACTTGGAACTTTTCATCAGACTTATATAAAAAAAAAACAAGCCATATGATACATTGTATCGTTTTTTCCCCTTTATATGTTTCTGTGAATATTTACAAAACCATAGGCCTATGTACAATACCAACTCGCAAATGAAAAAACAAGTTACGGATAGCACAAACAAACCAGTTTACGTAATGATCATATCGTTTTATGTACACTGAAACTGGCAAGATGATAGCATGAAACAATGTAAGATTATACGTGATTATGCTAAATAAATTCAACTATCTGTCGAGAGGTGTTGTGTGGTTTTAATCCAATAAGACAAGATGTCGGGTTTCTTGGCACTCAGATAGACCTGCAAAGAAGCCTAGCTCTGGTCCTTGGCGTTAGTGCGACTTGCTAAAGCTGAGAAGGCTCAGGCCGGGATTCAACCCGACCGCACTTTGTCGGCTATGCACTTTTTAAAGGTAATGTTCCCGAATTCGTGGAGACCGCATGCATGGTAAACTCTGCATATGTCGGCTTAAATTGGAAATTACCTTTAAATGTCAAGCACGCTATAACGCAAATCTACCACTGATCGGATTGAATGCTGGCCTAAGCGTTAGCAAGCCACACTAACGCCCTGGACTGGAGCTACAAGCAGCCCATCATCTAACTGCAAAACCATGGAGGCTAGAGTAGCTGAAGAAAGGCTGGAGCTACACTGGTCAGTCTGAAAAGACGAAACGATCAACACAAACGACGTAACAACACTGCATGTAAAAAAGAAACATAACGTGGCATAGTATTCAGCTATGCTCACTCTTCTGAAAAATGCCCCCCAAAAATCACTTTGAAGTAACATAGTAGAACACAGCCAAGTTAAATACGGAACTCTGCTCGTCGCAGAAGAATGGGCCCGACGGCCTAATGCACCTTTCTAAACTCCTTTTAGGAAAACGCATCTGCAACAGGCACAAAATAAAAGAAAGATGCCAACAACAAGAACATACTTGGTGTATTTTAGGCAAATAAGTATTCAACTGCTGTCTTGTAGTGTCAATTTTGAAGGGAGCGGGAAAAAGCCCCAAGCTGACTATACAGTGTCTTAGGTAGTGCAAAAAGAAACTTCACAACACATTGATGGTGGCGTTTCCTTCCCCCCCCCCCCCCTCACTCTAACCCAGGGGCTCTCTAGCTCCGCTCCTGGGGTGCAGGCTTTTGCTCCGGCCCAGCACTATTAACACACCCGTTTTAAATAATTAACTAACCATCGTCTTTCAGTCAGGTCTAGTTTGATCAGGTGAGTTAGTGCTGGGCTAGAACTAAAGCATGTCCAGGACTAGGTGTTGGAGACCCTTGCTATAACATCTTCTCAGCACTAGAAATACACACACTACAGCCTCAAACCCTAATAGTGTCACCTTTAGTGTGTTCAGAAAAGTCCCTACAATACTTGATTATGTCAAAAACACCCATGAAACACTGGAGTCCAAAAAATCTAAATACAACAATCTGTGGTGTGTTAGCTCAACATTGTTTGTCTCGTTTTGGAGAGACAACTAAATGAAAAATGTCCATATTCACAGGTTGTGGCCACTCCTACACAGTCACTCCTTCTCTCACTCCCACAGTCTCTCCCTCGTTTTGTCTCAGAGGACCATATATAAGGGTATCAACACCGATGATCATTTCACCAGAATAAGACCCTCAATATTTATTGTAAAGGAGCATCAAGCTCATCACCTTGTACTTTCACCACCCTTTGAAGTTCATCATAATTTATTTAATCTGTAGCCTAATAAACTGCATGCTTTCCTGACGAGTCATAGTGGGAGGACCACACAACATGTCATCGCGTGACTCCAAGTTTACCTCGATATGATGGTAATTATATCAATATTTGCCCATAAAAGCATTTCCACCGACATTTCTCGCATACTTCATTTTACCGACACAAAAAGATCCCACCGTGTCTAGCGTATTTTGTTTTGTTGACACTTGGAAAATTTACCGACAAATGTTCTGTTTCCATCAGGCCGGTCATGACATTTTGGACCCGACATGTACTTAAAAAGCTTGGATGGAAACCTGCTTAATGAGATGTAGGCTACATTCCAATACCCACATTAGCATACCACTTTAAACACACGGCCATTACATTGCTTCCTTCAGCATCAACTCTGTTGCGCCACAGAGTTGACCATCAGCAAAAAAAAAATATTACAGAGTTGACCGTCATTGCTGTAACGTTACGGAGTTGACCACTCCTCTGTTTTGGCTTCCTTCCTTCATAAGTAGCACGCTAGTGAGGATACTGTGGAGATATTGTCGTGTCCATCCATCAATCTCACAGTCTGTCCGTCAGTCTTCTCAGCACACCATGATGGGCGTCCCGTCGCCCTCGCGCCGCTGGTTCTTCTTCAGCAGCTGGATGCGGTTGTGACAGTAGAACTTGATGGCCCGCCAGTCGCGCCGGTTGGTGACCAGCAGCGGGCAGCTCTGAAGGCAGCGCTCGCAGTCGGCCTTGGCCGGCACACGCAGCTCGGCGATGTTGCAGGTCAGGTGCTCCTCCACAGCGGCGCGCTCCGCGTCCGACCACGGGCGCTTGAGGACGCCGCGTTTGCCTGTGCGGGGAGAGGGTGGGTTAGTACACACAGGGATGGATCTGTGTAGACATGTCTTTGTGGTGGGTTGTATACAGTACACACACACTACTGTGTACATACACACACATACACACACACCCCTCCCTCTATGGCTTACAGGCACACACACTTCTGTATTGGTCTTGAATATCTCAACTCTTTCGTAGTATGACTATGCAATAAACACACACACACACCTGATTTGGGCCCACCTGAGCCTCTCCTGCGGCCGGGGAGCGAGGGGGAGAGGGGCGATGCGGAGGAGGGTGTGACCTTGAGTTTCCTGGCACGCGGCGTCCTGCCGTTGGTCCTGCCCTTCCTCACCATCAGCAGGCTGGGAGGGGCCACCTCGCCCTTCTCCTTCCCCCCCTCGCCGTCAGAGTCACCCTCCGAGTACGAGTCGGCCGAGTTCCCTGACATCACTGTAGGGGGAGAAAGAGAAGGGTCAAATACATGTCAATGTTTCTCAACTTTAACTACAACGCTGGTCCTCATCATACTAAAGGGCAGTCCTTAAAATGAACAATCATCAGGAGACGACACTAAACTGTTTTACCCCCTAGAGTGGATTGACGCACTGTTGCGTCAATCTAAGTAACATCATAAAAAATCCCCATCAAAATCCGTCAGTTTAAGCTAGATATCGTAGGCATCCGCCTATGTCGCACTTCCGCATCTGCGGTGAAAGGTGACAGAGCTAGAGCGGTGTTTGTCAGACCATGAGACATCCCGAAAATCGGTCTCACGAAAACGTCCGATCGGTTTGACCTACAGCTATCCTTTCTCTAACGGTCATCATGCTTTGTTCCATCGGTTCTATTATATCAAGCAGGTTGAATCAAGCACACTTAATATACAGTAAAGGAGAGAAAAATAACTCCACTTCTAGTTTGACTATTCAGGTCTGACGTATATGTTAACCCCTCAGTGTCTCCTTACCGTCAAGCTCCAGACAGATGTGGTGGAGGCTCATCCCTCGGAACAGCACGCCGTCTCTCTCCCCGCACAGCACCACGCGCCCCACTCTACCCATCAGCCCCGGGTCCTGGCCAATCCTGCCGCAGCTCTGCGTCACGTGGTACTCGCGCTCCAGGAAGTGTTCCAGGCGTTCTACCGCGTTCCCTCCCGGCTGTCCTGGCTCCTCCCCCTCGCCGAGCAATAGCAGCTGCGTCAAGATGGCGACCTGGCGCCGGACGCGCGTCTGGGTGAGGGCGCGGGGGTTCCGGGTGCCGCTGGAGCGGGCCAGGCTCCGGAGGAGGTCGGTGCCCCGGAGGGGGGTGGCTGGGGAGTGGTACGGCCGGGCGAAGACGTACGGGTTCTGGGGATCGACGCCGACATCTTGCCTGGTCTGGAGGAGGAGTTCCAGACACGGCTCGCAGTGCGGTGGCAGGATGAGGGGCTGGACTCTTCCTCGTTTGCCCTGGACACCTACTCGAGGCAAATGCGGAAGCACGAGACGCTCAAATGGCGAAAGCGATGCCTCCAGGGGTGTGAGGGCGGGTGGGGCGCCGGGGGGCACCGGCACAGGGCACTGGGGGGTGACACGGGCACGGTATTCGGCTATGGCCAGTTTGGAGACCTCGCACTCGCGCCGACGGTTGTAGAGGATGAGCAGGGCGAGGGAGGAGTGGCACAGGAGGCGCCAGGCCTCGGCGGATTGGAGCTGGCGGGACAGGGAGAGGAAGGCAGAGTGCTGGAGCCTGCGCAGGTAGAGAACCAGGGAAGACAGGGAGGAGAGGAGGGGCAGCATGTGGAGACGGCCCGAACTGAGGGAGAGGGAGGGGAAAAAGTGAAAGAAAGAGGGAGAAAGGAGAGAGATTAGTTTCAATTGCAGTGTCAGTTATTCATTTATTCAAAGCACTATGCAATGGGGGAAAATCTATTTAAAAGTATCTACTATATTCATAACATATATTGATAACATCACATCAGCAGTTTGAAGTTACTTTTAAGTCAGTCTCAGTTGATTGATTTAGTCATCTTATTTGGAGCATGCTAAAAGCATTCCTACTTTTTTACATTCACCAATGCTAAAAGCTAAGCAGTAGTTCAGTTTGCTGACACTTTGCTGATCCATCAACTACTTTCTCAACATCCATTCGATGAGGTGAATTTGTCATTTAGGTGAACTAGTCCTTTAACGGAGTACCAACCTCCCACCCTCACCTCAATAACTCCTTCTCCTTATCCTCCGCTCCACTGTCGTCTTCCATCATTCCGTTTTCCTCCTCTTCTTCATTTCCATCCTCTTTAGGCGTCCGTTCCATCTCTTTGGGCGTCTGCTGAAAGACGTGGGGACAAGCCGCCTCTGCCTCTTCCTCCTCTTCTTTGGGCTTCACCACCTCCACCAAATCTTCCTCCTCCTCTTTTTCCTTCTTCACTTTGCGCAGTCCCGCCTTTCTGGGCGGGGCCACAGCCACCGGAGGTGGGCTTCTCTTCAGAACGGACACGGCCATGGCACTGCACCCTCGGGGCGGAGTCAACACCAGGGGGGAGGAGTTTCTCCCGACGGAGGAGGAAGGGGATTGGGCGGTGGTGGCGGTGGGACGTTGAGGAGACAGGGCGGCTGCGGTGCCCCCCTGTGGTGGCTTGTGGGAGTTTTGCTCCGCTCCTGATGACGCCGATGATGACCGAGGTTGCTGCTGGGACTGAGCGTGGTGTGCGGCGTGCGCGGCCGCCAGGTGGGGCATAAAGCGCTCGATGAGCACGGCGCGGATCTCGGGCTGGTTGGGGTGGTGCTTGTCCAGGTGGCGCCCCAGTGAGCGGAAGTGGCGCCCGCAGTAGGTGCAGCTCAGCTTCTGGGGGGGCACGCCCATGCCGACCCCCCTGGCAATGTTAATGCTGATGTTCGCCGTCGTGTTGGGCCCCAACGGAGCCGGAGATTTGAACAGAGAAGGGCGAGAAGAGGTGGAGGAGGAGGGAGGGGGGGAGAAGGTGATGGGGCGGTAGGACGCGGAGAGGGGAGGGCGGCCCGGGGACGTCCGGTGAGGGGTGGATCTCTTTTTGGAGGGGGTGGTGGTCCGGCGGCGTTTGCGGCGGCGAGGTGTGCGTCTCTGACCCCCGTCCTCGCCCCCCTCATTCTGGGGATCCGAGTCGCTGGCGTTGGAGTGGGAGAGGGGGGAGGAAGAGGGGGACAGGGGCCAGGAAGGGGTGAGGTAGTCCTGGGCAGAGAGAGATGGGGGCACGGGCCCGGACTCTTCCTCCTGAGAGAGAGAGAGAGAGAGAGAGAGAGAGAGAGAGAGAGAGAGAGAAAGAGAGAAAGAGAGAAAGAGAGAAAGATGAGTGGTGTTTGAGCCAGCTGTGTGTGGAGTACATGTACATACACTACCGTTCAAAAGTTTGGGGTCACTTAGAAATGTCCTTGTTTTTGAAAGAAAAGCAATTTTTTTGTCCATTAAAATAACATCAAATTGATCAGAAATACAGTGTAGACATAGTTAATGTTGTAAATGGCTATTGTAGCTGGAAACGGCTGATTTTCTATGGAATATCTACATAGGCGTTCAGAGGCCCATTTTCAGCAACCATCAGTCCTGTGTTCCAATGGCACGTTGTGTTTGCTAATCCAAGTTTATCATTTTAAAAGGCTAATTGATCATTAGAAAACCCTTTTGCAATTATGTTAGCACAGCTGAAAACTGTTGTGCTGATTAAAGAAGCAATAAAACTGGCCTTCTTGAGACTAGTTGAGCATCTGGAGCATCAGCAATTGTGGGTTCGATTACAGGCTCAAAATTAAATAGTACCCGCAAAACACCAGTCTCAACGTCAACAGTGAAGAGGCGACTCCGGGATGCTGACCTTCTAGGCAGAGTTGCAAAGAAAAAGCCATATCTCAGACTGACCAATAAAAAGAAAAGATTAAAGATGGGCAGTCTGACATATGGCTGAGACTAGTGTTTTGCGGGTACCATTTAATTGTGCTTCTCAATCCTGGTCCTGGGGACCCAAAGCAGTGCACATTTTAGTTTTTGCCTTAGCACGCCACACCCGATTCAAATCATCAAAGCATCTATGATGAGTTGATCATTTGAATCAGCTATGTAGTGCTTAGGCAAAAACTAAAATGTGCACTCCTTTGGGTCCCCAGGACCAGGATTGAGAACCACTGGTTTAGAGTGTCTGTGAATGGTGGGTGTGTGAATGAGGAGTGTCCAATGAGAGCGTTGAGTGAGCAATACTAGTATATTACAACGCTTCGAATCCTACAAGCAAAGTGAGTTTTGAGGGTATATTAGACAGGTGAATAGAATGTAAACATTATAGACAAGCACATCAGTATAATATTAAGTGTTGTATAAATATAGTAGGTGTATGTAGGTGTATGTAGGCAACAGGTTGTCTTTTCTTACCTTTTTGATACTGTTGTTCTCAGGGTCAGAGATACACTCATATCTCCCTGGAGACACGGTACCACGGAAACCCTGGAGGAATATAGGCTCCATTAACATTCATTATTATCACCCAGTGCTGTCAATCAGACAGTCAAACCAATAACAGTAGCTACTCAAAAAGCACTATATACTATAATCAGTCAAATACAGTAGTCAGCCCAGTTGAAAATACCCAGATACGCATTATGGCCCAAAATAATTACTCAACGATTTCTGTGAGAAAAAGAGGATTATTTAACCAGAGTAAAAGTAAACAGCGCAGAATTGTGTTGCACGTGATCCAATCGATAGTTGCAGTACTTACAACTTGCCTCGGATAACACAAACCATGGATATTGTGGCATACTGTCTATTCAAAATGTAACTATTTTGTAGTTATTTTGCTCACTGCATGGAATTTATTTCCATTAGGAAATGTAAGTTGTTCGTTGAAAACACTATTCACCAAATAGAAAGGTGGGTAAACTGCATTTTACTTGCATTTACGTTTCACTACATCCCAGGTTATATCGGTACCAGCCATCGCCATGGTTACAGTCACGTAGGCTCTAACAGGTACATCGCCATGGTTACTCACCATGGCAACAGTTACTCGGGCTCTTACAGGTATATCGCCATGGTTACTCACCATGGCTACAGTTGCTTAGGCTCTTACAGGTGTGTCACCATGGTTACTCACCATAGTGTTGTCTCCCCACTCGGTCAGGCTGTAGTCAACGGTGATCTCCTCTCCCTTGGTGATGTCTCGGATCGCTATGACGACCAGACGCACCTGGCTCCCACAGTGTACCTCTCGGATGCGGCAGTTTGGAGGAGGGGGGTACATCACCGCCGCCCCCCTGCCCCCGCTGGATCCCTCCTCACCCAGCTCTGAAGACCCACTGCTGAGAAGGGGGAGGGGAGGGAGGAAGAGAGGTGGGGAGAGAGAGATAGGAAGGGAGGGAGAGAGTGAAGGGGAGGGAGGGAGATAGATCAGCACACGTGGACCTATACATACAAAATCAGCAAAGATAGCACAGACACTAACTGTAGCTAACACACACACTTTCAATCAATACAATTACACACTGCAACACACACACACACACACAGCTACCCCACGCAAAACAGCACAACTATACAAAACATTAGGAACACCTCCTCTTCCATGACATAGACTGACCAGGTGAAAGCTTTGATCCCTTATTGATGTAACTTGTTAAATCCACATCAGTCAGTATAGATGAAGGGGAGGAGACAGGTTAAAGAAGGATTTTTAAGCCTTGAGACATGGATTGTATATGTGCCATTCAGAGGGTGAATGGGCAAGACAAAAGATTGCCTTTGAACAGGGTATGGTAGTAGGTGCCAGGCGCAACGGTTTGTGTCAAGAACTGCAACGCTGCTGAGTTTTTCATGCTAAACTGTTTCCTGTGTGTATCAAGAATGGTCCACCACCCAAAGGACATCCAGCCAACTTGACACAACTGTGGGAAGCATTGGAGTCAACTCAATATTAGGAAGGTGTCCTTAATGTTTTGTATTATACATGACAAAAAACACACAGCCCCCCCCATCCACACACACACAGAAAACTATATACACATTACAACACACACAATAAAAAGTACACAAATGTTATCAAATATCATAAAAATATCATAAAAATAACACCATGAAATGAAATCACACACAATCACACTCACCAGATCTGAGCAGGGTCATTGATGTAGCATGGTCCATCCAGTGTTGGTCGTTTGTTCTCGGCAGCCTCCTTACCATCACCTGACAGAGGAGTATAAAAGGATTACACGAGCACACACACTGACACGCACGAAAGGACACACACACACACACACACACAAGGTCATCACCCTTCCCCCACCTAAACACATATGCACATCACACACACGAACTCAAACACACATTTATCTAGGTCAGCACGCACACACACACCCCTCTTTCACCCTATAACACACACAATCCTGTACGCATGCACACACACACTACACAACTATTACACACAGTCACACAAGAATCATCAATAAAGGACAAACACCCACCTGGACCGTAGCTGTGTTCGGAGCTCTCCTCCTCATCCTCTGTGACAAAGACTCGGTCGCACACTTTCACCGGCGTTCCCTTTCTTTTCCTCCCACAACCGCGTCTGTGGAACACAGAGAGAGACAGAGAGAGACAGAGAGACAGAGAGACAGAGGAGAGAGAGAGAGAGAGAGAGAGAGAGACAGAGAGACAGAGAGACAGAGAGACAGAGAGACAGAGAGAGAGAGAGAGAGAGAGAGAGAATAATTGTATCAATCCCCCAGGCGGACCAATCTTCACATCAATCAAGTAGGAAAAGCAATCAATACACTGATCACCAATAGGAACCCAGTCTCAATTTCTGTATCCAATTACTTTCAACCAATAACAACTGAATTATTGATTCATTTAGACTATTTATTGGTAAAATTGCAATTACTTTGGTTTATTTGGGGAAAATGCTGAATGCTGACTGGGCAGATTTTGGGCAGAATTGGTCCAAATTCTTACTGGGTTAATTGGTGTTGAAGGGACATTTGTGAATCACAAGCCACAATACACTGATCCAAGGTCTGTGTTGAGTTTCGCTCCACTACCAGGGATTCAGGATACAGGGATGGTAAGCTGATCAGAGATCTATGCTTACGGTGCAGGTTCTAGCCATAGCGTAAAAGCCACTTGTAAGAGCAGAGGATACACTAGGAGCTGATCTGAGCTAATCTTTCTTTGCCTCAATCCTAGCCATAACCATTCAAATCCAAGCACTAGAAACTGGCTTTGGATCAGTGTGACTTAGGGCAGTTTTTCTACACACACACGCAAATGTTGTTTTCTGTAATTCTTTATATTTTTTCCTTACATGACATTGGAGGCTCTTAAAACTAGGCCATAGGAAAACAGTGCCTTGGTTTCTCAAGTGTTCATTACTGCGTGTGTGTTTGTGCGTGAGGTGTGTGTGTCTGTGTGTGTCTGTGTGTGTGAGAGAGAGAGAGACTATTTGAGCAGAGATATCAACCAGACTCGCTGTCTTTGTATTGATCCACCCCTCGCTCTCCATCTGGACTCGTGATAACGTACGTGTGTGTGTGTATGTGTGGCGCTCTCACATGTGTGTGCGCGCCTGCACTTTCTTGTGTGCACACTCTCTCGTGTGAGTGTGTGTGTGTGTGTGTGTGTGTGTCTGTCTGCGCGGTCACTCATGTATGCCCATACTTTTTTTAACTAAGCTTGGGCCTAGTTGCTCTTTCTTAAAGTAACAGCTTTCTTTTAAATGCGTTTCACCCATTCCCCATTGTATGAGGTAATTACATTATCTAGAATGGCCTGTAATGGTAACGCTATAAGAGGCATTAGCAATGACTGATTTACATACAGTACAGTGGTTTACAGTAGTGTGTGTGTGTGCATGCGTTTGTAGTACAGTACCACAGTCTTTCTAGCCTGGTAAATACCTCCCCTTAGGTTATATACACTACATGACCAAAAGTATGTGGACACCTGCTTGTCGAATATCTCATTCCAAAATCTTGGGCATTAATATGGAGTTGGTCCCCCCTTTGCTGCTATAACAGCCTCCACTCTTCTGGGAAGGCTTTCCACTAAATGCTGGAACATTGCTGCGGGGACTTGCTTCCATTCAGCCACAAGAGCATTAGTGAGGTCGGGCACTGATGTTAGGCGATTAGGCCTGGCTCGCAGTTGGCGTTCCAATTCATCCCAAAGGTGTTCGATGGGATGAGCGACTTACAGTAGTGAGTGCATACATTTACATACTTGTTTCGTACTGGTCCCCCGTGGGAATCGAACCCACAACCCTGGCGTTGCAAGCGCCATGCTCTACCAACTGAGCCACACGGGACCTCCAGAGGCCAATGGTGGCGAGCTTTACACCAATCCAGCCGACGCTTGGCATTGCGCATGGTGATCTTAGGCTTGTGTGCGGCTGCTCGGCCATGGAAACCCATTTCATGAATCACCTGACGAACAGTTCGTGCTGACGTTACTTCCAGAGGCAGTTTGGAACTCGGTAGTGAGTGTTGGAACTGAGGACAGATGATTTTTACGCGCTACTCACTTCAGCACTCGGCGGTCCCATTCTGTGAGCTTGTGTGGCCTACCACTTCGCGGCTGAGCCGTTGTTGCTCCTAGACGTTTCCACTTCACAATAACAGCACTTACAGTTGACCGGGGCAGCACTAGCAGGCCAGAAATTTGACAAACTGACTTGTTGGAAAGGTGGCATCCTATGACGGTGCCACGTTGAAAGTCACTGAGCTCTTCAGTAAGGCCATTCTACTGCCAATGTTTGTCTATGGAGATTGAATGGTTGTGTGCTCGATTTTATACACCTGTCAGCAACGGGTGTGGCTGAAAAAGCCGAATACACTAATATGAAGGGGTGTCCACATATCTTTGTATATATAGTGTATTTCCTAACCAATTTGTCCCAATGGAATTTTGCTTATTTCTCCTTGATGGCTTTATGTGTCTTCAAATACAGCAGGTGGGACAAGTGTCAAATTGAATACTACGTGTGTGTTTGTGAATTCTACATGATTCAATGTACTACGATCACACATTATATAGTGCACTGCTTTTGACCAGGGACCAGTTATGACCACGTCATATCGCCAGTCTAGGATTTATCATGACATGTTCATGTAAGCCCAACCAGGATTGAGGAAGTAAGTCCATAGGAGTGTCTCTCTTGGTGATTTGTGTGTGTGTGTGTGTGGTCTATTCTAGTACTGTCTAATCAGATGTCTCTCTTCTCCATTCCATCTGTCTTTAACTCTATCATGCTCTTTCTCTTCCTCCCATTGACTCTCTCCATTCCCCTATCTCTCCTCTCCTCTCCTCTCCTCTCCTCTCCTCTCCTCTCCTCTCCTCTCCTCTCCTTCCTCTCCTCTCCTCTCCTCTCCTTCCTCTCCTCTCTCCCACAAACAAACACACTCTCACACACACAGCCCTCCTCCTTTGCCAACCCACATACACACACACACAAATACACAAACAAGTCCTCACTCAAGACCAACATGTGCACACACACACACAGTTCTAGGAGCCCACATGTGCACACACACACTCTTCTGCCTTCCCCCACTCTGGCCCATATGCGCACGCACACACACGCGCACACACAAACACACACACACTCTCAGGCTTACAGGCACACACACACACACATTCTCTCTTCAGCCAAGCTCACATACACGCACACACACCCCTCCCCCCTCTCTAAAGCTCACATGCTCACACACACACACGCAGGCAGGCTCGCTCAAGCGCACACACACTCACTGTCTCTCTCCCTCCCTCTCTCAAATATCCAAACCCACAGTCTCATGTTCCCTCTCTCTACCCCTCTCTCTCTCACACACACACACACACACACTCACACAACGCAAACACACAAAACACACACACTCACACAAAGCGCACACACACACACAATCTGCACCATACACACTCCTAGACTTCTTCATTTTTCCTTCAATACACCTCCTTTCTCACTCTAAAACACACACACTCAATCTCCAGAACACATGCGCCATCTCTTTCTCCCATGCACGCACATACGTTTCAATACACACACACACATCCTCTCACACACTACACTAGTCTCCATAAGACACGCATGCACACACTCCCTCCTCCATGGATAACATTCTCTCTACACGCACACACTCCCACCCTCCCCCCACTCAGTCACACACAACACACACTCTCTCGCACACACACACCGTCCTTCCCTCTTTCATAAACAAAGTAGATGCATAAACACTCTCCTTTCCTCTGTCTCTTACACACAAGCAAACACACTGCCCTTGTCTAAGTCACACACACACACACACAAACCTTGTCTCTGTCTCCCCCTTTCACACACACCCTTCCCTTTTTCTCTCTGCCTGCAGAACACACACACACACAGACACACACACCCTCCCCCTTCTCCCTCTGCCTCCAGAACAAACACACATTCTCTCCCCTGCTTGCTCTCTCACACACACACAGTCTTTTTTTTATTTTTTTCCAAGACACACAGACACTCATTCTCCCTCCCTTCTCTGTTTCAAAAGCGCACGCACAAACACACACACTTCCTCACCCTCTCTCCATCACACACCCTCCCCTTCTCGTTCCCTCTCTTACACACACACACTCCCTCTTCTTGCTCTCTCCCCTTTAAACACACTCTCCTTCCCCCCCTCTCTGTAACACACTCTCTCTCTCTCTCTCTCTCTCTCTCTCTCTCTGTAACACACACACTCTCTCTCTAACACACACACCCTCCCCTTCTCTCTTCATCACAAACACACTATCCCTCCATTTCTTAAAGACAGACACACACACTTTTCTTCACCAGTCTGCACTGTCAGTTTAAAATCACTAAACAAAAACTAAAATCTCTCACATCTCACACACACACAAAATATGATACCCCAAAATGTTAGTCTCTTACCATCCTAAACACTATTCTTTATACTTCGAAGACAACACACTAATGGAAAGTCAGAAACATCCACACATTCTCTCTCTCTCACACACACAATCTTCCCCTTTGCTTTATCCCTTCTACAAACACACACACACACAAACCCACACATTTCTTGGTTACACATAAACACACTAGTCCCTCACACACATACCACTCCTCTCTCTCTCTCTCTCTCCCCCCCACGCACACACACACACACCACAAACAAACACTCATACACCCTCCCCCACTAAGTAACACACATGCATGCACAGACACACTCTTCCCTCCCCTTCCCTGTGCCTCTCACACACACACTTCCCCTCTATCTCTCCCTCACACACACACTCCCCCTTTATTACACAAATATGCTCACCCTCACGTACACATGTCCTTCACAGTCTCGCTCCTCACACACACTCTCCCTAAAAACACACCTTATTTATTTATCTCCTTTTTACCTCACACACTGCTCTCTCACTCACCCCTTTCTCTCACACAATCTCTGAAAAACACACCTTTTCACTTTCCCCCTTCCTCTCCCTCCACCCCCCCCCCACACACACACCTTTATTCCATTTCTCATCTTTCTCTCTCACACACACGAATACACACACCCTCCCTCTCTTAAACACACACACTCACACTCACATGCACATACACACAACTCCTCCCCTCCTTTCTCTCTCACACACACACACTCACATGCCACCCCCTCTAGCACACACACCAAACACTCCCCCCTCCCTCTGTCTCTCTCGCTCTCTCACACTCTGTGCTCATTCCTCTCACACACACACTCTTGTTCTCTTTGTCACACAGTCTCTCCACACAACACGCACCCCCTCCCTCTCACACACACATACTGTGTCCGTCTCTGTCACGCACACACTCTCCCTCTCTCCAACACACACACACACACACTCCTCCCCCTTGCTCACACACACTCCCTCCCCCTCTCTCTAGCACACACACTCCCCCTTCCCTCCCCCCCCCCTCTCTCTCTCTCACACACACACACACACACAGTGCTCATTCCTTTCTCTCACGCTCTCCCTGTGTGTGTGTGAACTCTCTCTTCTCACACAACCACACACACTCACAGTGGGAGAGAGGCTCTGGCAGCATATATAACAGGTCGCCATAGCAAAAACGAACAAACATTATAATTGCGTTTACTTCTGTTTGTTAAGAGTAGCTACTAGTAACGATTGATAACTCCTTGACTTGTTGGTTGGCTTGTGTTAGCTAGTAATTCACATACAATTCACATTTGAGAAAAATTAGCTAACTACACAAGTACAGTAACGTTAGTTGCTAAATGCTAACGTTAGCTCGTACAGTTCTCGTCTCACACACATACACCCACACACCTATCAAGCTGCTATGTGAAGTGAGTAGCAACTATTGCAACTAATGAACATCAGAGTATAATTTATACGGGTTTCTCACACAATGTCTAGCAGAGAATAAGTTAATAACGAATGTGTTACGCATTATAAGTTTAATTTGAGCCTAGTACAATATAGCGTTAACTCAAAACGCGCGCGCGCGCGCGCGCGCACACACACACACACACACACACACCATCTCGCTCGCACTGTCACTTCAGAAAATTACCTTTAAATGTAGCTATGGCTACTAATTAACTAACTGACTAAAACCCTCACCCCCTAGGTGTCGGCTCCGGTTTGGTTCCCTCTCCATCGCTGTCCAGGGTCGGTGGCTCCCGGTAGTCGAAGAGCGAGCGTACGGTCTCCGCCATGTTAGCAATCGACTAGTCTTCTTAGTACCTCTCTCACTCTCCGGCTCTCTCTACTAGCTCACGCGAAGGTTATTCTAGCCACTCCCATTGCCTCAGAGCGGAGGGATGAAAAAATAAATAAACAACAAGCTACTAAACGATATGTTTAGCTCATATATAACACATAGTTAGTGACTGTCTATAAAAATAACATCCATACATTGTGGTAGTAGTAGTAGTGTCGTTTTAAAGGGAATATGCTTAGAATGCTTATTCTTTGGAAGTACGGTAAAGATCCAACCCTACATATATAAGCAATGGACTCGTCTGCGAGAGAGGATGAAAAAAGAGTTGTTGTCTAATGCCTACCCGTTTATAGGAGAATAATTGATTAGCTTGGTAACTGTAACTGGAAGAAGCAGAAACAATGTCTGTCTTTGTCTCTTTCAGGAATTACCTGCGAATTTAAACACGTTTTCTTGCTGAGAGTAATGTTTTACCTCTGCAAGAACTCCAAGATATCATCAGAGTTGACTTTGAATTAAACTGCTGAGGCAACTTGATTGTGCTCATTAGCGCCACCTAGTTTATTACCCCGATTTCACTACAGAAACGTTATTTACCAGCACCCCTATCATATCTACAGTTTGAGTTATTCTGGTACAATGACCATTGAAGATGGACATAGGCTCACGTAAGTGAATGGGTGAATTCAGGTCTCTAAAAAGTTGAAAGTCAAACCGACCACTTTAATTTGTCATGTTGGATTGACATCTAATATATTTCATTTTTTGAGCATTGGTGTGTGTAGCCTACTGTAAAATGAGAAATGCACTGTGTGCTCTCATCCACGTGCACATACAAGCACGGTCAAACAATAGTCACACACAAAAACCTATATAATAGAAGAGTAGGCTAACATAATTTTCACCAGCACATTTTGTTGAGCCGTAACACACACACACACACACACACACACACACACACACACACACACACACACACACACACACACACCACACACAGTAACATAATTTTCCTGACATACAGTACAGACATATATTGTTGCACTGTAACACACACACGGATACACACACACACGGATACACACACACACGGATACACACAAACACACACACGGATACATACATACACACGGATACACACACACACACACACACGGATACACACATACACATTGATACACACACACACACACATGCCATTTGCAGAGCTCCTCTCTCACACACACACCCCTCCCCCTCTATCTCTGTCAGACACACACAAATACACACGCACAGACACACTCATTCTCCCTCCTACGCAAGCGCACAGACAGACACATACACACACACACACACACACACACAACACACACACACACAGCCAGACAGACACACACACACATTTCCCTCTCTCGCCTTTCACACACACAGCTCTCTCATACACCCATCCCCCCTTTCTTTCTCACACACACATGTCCTTTCTCTCTCTTACTCGCACACACACTCAAGCGCACACACGCACATGTGCGCATGCACACACACACACTCCCTCCCTCTCCTGCTTGAGCTCTCTCTCACTCTCTCTCTCTCTCTCACCACACTCTCTCTCACACACACACATGCACACACAACCACACACACACACACACACACAGGCACACATACACACACAAAGGCACACATACACACACACTCACACAGAGGCACACACACATGCACAAGTTCTCTCTCCTGCTTGCTCTCCCTCTCACACACAAACACACGCAGACACATGCATGCGCGCACACACATTTTCTCTCCTGCTTGCTCTCACTCACTCCATCCCTCCCTCCCTCCCAACCTCCCTCCCTCCCTCCCTCCCTCACACACACCATACACTCCTTCACAACACACACGTACACACATTCTCTCCTGCTCTCTCTCTCTCTCTCCACACACACACACAAACACATTTTCTCTCTCTTGCTCGCTTGCACTCTCTCTCTCCTCCTCTCTCTTTGCCTCTGCCTCTCTCACCCCCCCCCCCCCCCCCCCTTCCACAGGCATCCTGGCTGCCACTCCTTCTCTAACAACCACACACACACACACACACACACACACACACACTCACATTCCCCCTACTGTCTGTGCACACAAACACACTCTCTCTCTCTCTGTCTCTCTCTCTCTCTCTCTCTCTCTCTCTCTCTCTCGCACACACACACCCCTAAAACACACACCCCACCACTTTTACCCAAACATACATCCTGTCTTTCCTTTACAGTTAAACATCAACACACACACACACACACACACATACATACACACACATACATACACACACATACACAAACCCAAATGTAACCCAGACTTTTTTTTCTTACATGAACCTCTCCCTCCTGCTCCAAAATCATTAATGCGCACACACACACACACAAATCCTCCCCCACACACACAGGCGCATACACACAAACATGACACACGACACACGGACACACACACACACACACACACACTACTCATCACGTGCATCGAGAATGTTCTTAAGCCATCCAATCCTTAAGCCAAACAGATCCAAGAGACAATTCAAAATATAACCTACATACATTTATTTCATCATCTCTGCATATCTCAAAGTCATACATTAATAATGAATATGGTTTCAATATCTTCCGACACCATACCAGAGTTTCTGTGAAACACAACAAAAGAAAATCAGCAACAGGACATTTTAGTACATTAGTTTGGAGTGTTTTAACAAAGTATACACCAGTCCTATGTCTAACTACTGTCTCTCACTCTCATCAATGTCCCTAACCAACTGATACAGGGTTAGATCTGTTTGCATCCTCCTACTGGTTAAGATTAGGATTGGGGATAAGGTAATCTGATCCTAGATCTATGGTTAGGGGCAACTGGCTCTATACCAAGAGGTCATGAAAAAGGGCTAGTTGCTCCAGCAACCGTGCGTATTCAAGTCAGCGTAAAAATGGAGGAGACTTTGCTACAGTGCATCTGAGTCTACAAAGGTAAGAAAAACAATCTAGTCTGGTATTTTCAATTATCCTTAAAAGTCACACACACAAGAACAGGGATGGCGATCCCTCCTCTTGGAGAGCTATTGTGTGCAGGCCTTTGCTCCAACCATGCACTAACACACCTGATTCTACTGATCAGCTGCTCACACCGCTCTAATTTGAATTGCGAACATGGTTTAACAACGTCCCTCCTCCCACCCCTCCCAATTTGCCGGCTACGCACTGATATCATAAGGGTCTGTTTCAACGGGGGTCATATAGTAATGATTACTCATTCAAGGGTTTTCCTTTATTTTTACTATTTTCTACATTGTAGAATAATAGTGAAGACATCAAAACTATGAAATAACACATATGGAATCATGTAGTAACCAAAAAAGTGTCAAACAAATCTAAATATATTTTAGATTCTTCAAAATAGCCACCCTTTGACTTGATGACAGCTTTGCACACTCTTGGCATTCTCTCAACCAGCTTCATGACGAATGCTTTTCCAACAGTCTTGAAGGAGTTCCCACTTGTTGGCTGCTTTTCCTTCACTCTGCATCCCACTCATCCCAAACCATCTCAATTGGGTTGAGGTCGGGTGATTGTTGAGGCCAGGTCATCTGATGCAGCACTCCATCACTCTCCTTGGTCAAATAGGCCTTACACAGCCTGAAGGTGTGTTTTCGGTTATTGTCCTGTTGAAAAACAAATGATAGTCCCACAAAGTGCAAACCAGATGGGATGGCGTATCACTGCTGAATGCTGTGGTAGCCATGCTGGTTAAGTGTGCCTTGAATTCTAAATAAATCACTGACAGTGTCACCAGCAAAGCACCCCCACACCATCACACCTCCTCCTCCATGCTTCACGGTGGGAACCACACATGCGGAGATCATCCGTTCACCTACTCTGCGTCTCACAAAGACAAATTTGGACTCATCAGACCAAAGGACAGATTTCCACCGGTCTAATGTTCATTGCTTGTGTTTCTTGGCCCAAGAAAATCTCTTATTATTATTGGTGCCCTTTAGTAGTGGTTTCTTTGCAGCAATTAGACTATGAAGGCCTGATTCACCCAGTCTCCTCTGAACAGTTGATGTTGAGATGTGTCTGTTACTTGAACTCTGTGAAGCATTTATTTGGCTGCAATCTGAAGTGCAGTTAACTCTAAAGAATGTATCCTCTGCAGCAGAGGTAACTCTGGGTCTTCCTTTCCTGTGGCGGTCCTCATGAGAGCCAGTTTCATCATAGCGCTTGATGGTTTTTTTTTTTTTTTGCGACTGCACTTCAAGAAACTTTCAAAGTTCTTGAAATGTTCCGTATTGACTGACCTTCATGTCTTAAAGTAATGATGGACTGTAATTTCTCTTTGCTTATTTGAGCTGTTCTTGCCATAATACTTGGTATTTGACCAAATAGGGCTATCTTCTGTATACCACCCCTATCTTGTCACAACACAACTGATTGTCTCAAACGCATTAAGAAGGAAAGAAATTCCACAAATGAACTTTTAAGAAGGCACACCTGTTAATTGAAATGCATTCCAGGTGACTACCTCATGAAGCTGGTTGAGAGAATGCCAATAGTGTGCAAAGCTGTTGTCAAGGCAAAGGGTGGCTACTTTGAAGAATCTCAAATATAACATATATTTTGATTTGTTAAAAAAAAAAATGGTTACTACATGATTCCATATGTGTTATTTCATAGTTCTGATGTCATCACTATTATTCTACAATGTAGGTACTGTATATATATATATATATATATGGTTTTTTTCTGTCTTAAACAGGTTCAGAAATGGATTAGCCGAGTCTGGTGTTAGAGCAGGGCTGGAGCAAAAGCCTGCATTCCCAGTGGTTCTCCAGTAGGAGCTGCACAAAGTTGGGATGTTTTGGTTTGGTTCCTCTACTCGCCACTAGAGGGCAGGGCACAGCCTGTATAGGACAGCTAAACTCATCACATCACTTCAAGGCACAATCTGTGAGATTACCATCCACAAGTAATGAAATGT